ATTTTGTATTATTTTTTAAAGCATCTTAATGATCTTAAATGTAAAAACTCAAAACTATAAATTTGTAGATCCCACCGAGAATTATAACTTTCATACAGAAAGTATCTCTGTTTGACACCATATAAGAAAAATACGATTTTTCCAAGGACAAGTGCTTGTATGCGATTAAACAATGCTGGAATTTTATATTATTTTTTTGAGCATCTTAATGATCTCAAATGTAAAAACTCAAAATAACAAATTTGTAGATCCCATCGAGGGCTACAACTTTCATATAGAAAGTATCTCCATTTGACACCATATAAGAACGATATGATTTTTCCAAAATGGCAGCGCTGGTACGTGATTAATATACTGCTGAAAATTTGTTTAATTTTTTGAGCATCTTAACGACCTCAAATGAAAAACCTCAAAACTAAAAAGCTGTAGATCTCGTTGAGAGCTATAATTTTTATATAAAGATCATCTTCATCCGATATCATATGAAAAAGATATAATTTTTCTAATGTTGGGCCTTGCCGCGCCAGTTTGGATGGCGTGGGCTACAGTGCAAGAATTTCCACGTGAAAATCGCTGACTGACATGGTAGATCGTGTCGCGCCGATGCATGTGGCGCGGCAGCGTGTTTTGGCCTCGCTACTGACTTTGGCACGGGCAAAAGTGTTAGATTTGAAAATAAAAAAGCAACGGTATTAGATTTGAAATTTATTTTAAAAACAGGTAAAAAATAAAAAAAATCGCCATCGCGATGGCTACTCACCGGCAAGCGTTCCGCCCCTGCGACTGGTCATCCCATAAACATTCATGGTAGTTTACTATTGTCGATGTCATACCCCGGGTATCCCGACTACAGGATTTGTTGAACACCGACTCCGGATCATAAGAGACCCGACTAGATGCGACGGCCCTATTTGAGGAAGGATATCTCCGGATTACGTCAAGACTCCGACTGTGGCATGACTACTTAGCTTGAGGGGCAAGTTGATCCCGGATATAAATAGCTAGCAATACCCCTGGTTGTAATGATCCAATATCCCGTCTTTTATAGGCATAGCTACATTGTAATCGCAAACTCGTCAAAATACAAGAATACAAGAGTAGCAACTGGACGTACGGCTTTTACTCGCTTCCCGGGGGCACAAACCAATATAAATCGCATGTCTCTACTATGATTGATCTTTGCACCAAGCGGGGTTTCCAAAAACTAAATATCTGGCGGTCAAAAACACCGACAACTAGTTAAGTTACTAACTTACTGATGACTTAGATGACTTTGTAAGCACATACTCCTGTTTGGTTCCCATCGGAACTCGTCATGTGCGCAGTGGCGTCGCCACACTTTGTGGCGCTAAAAACGGCCGCCACACCTGTGGCGTAGTTTTGCACTGGAAAGATCGTGGGATCTGCAGGGGAAAATGCACGGTTGCGTGGGTTTACACCTATGGGAACGCGCGGCGGGGAATCACAAACAGCCCCTAATAATAATATATTCCTACTGCCACCGGTTTCACAAAATGCATGCACCCCTCTTTTCCATAATTAATGAGATGCACATCGACAGAGACGTCTGGAGGCTGGAGGTCCAAAGTAATCAGATTTCGGAGAGAAACGTGTGCCGCTAGCCATGGATGAAAGGGGCAGGCCATCTTTTTGGGCGGGACGACCGGACGGCGGTGCTTCACAAGTTCCACGAAATGGACGTACTTAGCGAGAAATAAGGCACGAGAATGACTAACTCAAAAAACTTTTGGTACTTGAACGGGCATATTGCTGTTAACGTGGACTCAAATACCGTGCCGAGCGTGACTATGGAAAGATTCACAAAATCTTAAGTCTTGAGCGAGAAATGTGTGTCACAAGCCTCACACTAAAAATGCGGATACCACTACTTGTCTTGTGAAAGCGACCCAAAGACACGTAGACCTATATTTTTAGTTTGGGAGACGTGTATACCATTAACTATATATTGAAAATGAACAGGGACCGCGAACTGATCATAGATCAGTTGGTTGGGTTCTCTGTGGTGGAATCTGTCCATCCGGGTTCAAGTACTCGACTCGGCACGGGTGCTCGTATTTTTCTGGATTTTTCGAGATTTATTGGCGCTATGCTTTCAGTGGAAGGCGACGTCCCGTCGACAGCGAGGCGTCTATGGTGACTTCGTGAATCTCAAGATCTGCCGGCTCAATCATTCGGAGGTGCTCATAGGGGTAGGGTTTACGTACGTGTGTTCATAGAGGTGAATATACGTGCGTGTTGTGGGTGTCTGCGTTGTACTGTGTGATTTAAAAAATGAAAAAGGGCCACAAGAGCAAACTAGATAATATTTTGTCCGAGGATGCTGGAAAAAGATCTGAAGTGACTGAACATTCCTTAATTGCATATTCCTATGTGATGAGATATGTTGATCTTGTAGCTAGTCCACAACATGAAAGGTGACAACACACCTCACGGAAAGAAGGACAAGGACAAGTGCTGTAGATACTCAAAATATTTCAATGCTGAGAAGAGACGTATAGTTGTTAACATGGATTTAAACACCGCATAGTACGTGACTATTGGTGACTGTCCCAATGTTCACAAAAATCTTTTAGTTCTTAGTGAGAAACAGGTGTTGCTAGCCTCACACTAAAAAGAGAAATACAACTATACATCTTACGAAAGTGACTCCAAAGACGCATGGTATCTTTTTTTTAGTTCGAGAGATGTGCATGCAGAGACGTGTCATAATGGACATGGATTAACAACCTGTTCGGCTGATCCGCTCTCCCTTTATCTCAGCTTATTCTCTCTCTCAGAACACTATTGAATCATCTGAAATCAGCTGAAACTAGATCAGCCGAACATGCCCTAAAATAGCAAACACAATGATATCTTTGTGCAGAGAATATCGTAAAAAGGCCTACAGTTGAACATTACCCGGCCCCGACCGTGCCGCAACATCCGCCCTGTTCGTTTGAATTTGTTTGGTTTATAAGCCATGGCTGAAAGTATTGTTGGCTGATTTGGTGTGAGAGAAAAATACTATTTGTTGACTGATAAGCCATGCTTTATAAGCCGAATACGATCAAACGAACGGGGCTGGATATCATAGGCGACAACACATAAGGACAAGTGGTAGCGCAAGCAGCAGTACATGAACACTATACATGTTAGGAAAAGAAAGATTTGTGTCTTGGATCGTCCAATCCTATATTCCTGTATATGTAGGCGGGACTGGACGACGATGTGGGGGTCGGCTCCACGTGCCACGAGAACCCCCATATGTTGTATATGTGCTGTGAGATGGTTTTGTCCAGGGCAAACCATCACGCGCGCAAAGGTCGTCGTTCATCAACAGGTGATGTTGCGTGTGATCAGTCAACAGTAGGCTACGTCGGACTGTGCTTGATCTCGTGTGACCGGAAGAACAGATATCCGAAGTGCAGCCAGCACGCGAACCCGTGAGACTTCAATGGCTATAGTTATGGGCGCCATAATGGGCAGCTGAGTCCCATTATAGATAATGAATGCAAAGTTAGTGTTGACAATGGTTGTACTGTTTTCCTTTGCATGCTCAAAGCAGCGTAAACTCACCGGTGTAACTCTGGATATATGAGGCTATGTGAATATCAAAGCAAATTGTATACTTTATTCGGTTTTGGCAGTGTTTCGCCTACCTCTGTTTCAAAATAAATGTACTTTTGGCTATGCACATGGACAAAGTGCTTGTCCCAATATAATTTTAATTTAATCTTTTCTTCTCTCATGTGCACCGGTGATAGAAAACTTCCCTTTGAACAAATATACGAAAGAGAGAAAGCTTTAAAATCTACATGGGAAATTAGCATGTACAAACTCTAACAACGAAGCGTAGCGAGGGTAGCTTCTAAGGTCTGTCACTAACAGAGACCTATCAAGAGACCAAAAGCCAAAATAGGTCTCCAACAAAGACATATATGGAAGACCTATTTTGTGGTGTCGTGAGAGGTATAACCAAAATCTGAAATCCTCTCTTCTCAAGCACCCATTTGTAGAAAAGGTTCTTTTATGTTTTGTTGTTGGAGAAGACTAAATATAGGTATTGAACCAACTATTTATCTATAGCGCTACTCAAACGTAAAATAGGCTTTTGTATTTTTGGGGTAATGGTTACTGGAGACCGTCTAAACGAAGGCAAACGTGTAAACATACCGGGATGGAACCTAGTCTATGCGACGACTATGCCCAAGACAACACACGCAGCAAAAGACGAGAGATGAAAACAGAGCCCATTTTCACAGGACGCACTCGCCGTGTGTACGTAGCTGGCCCCTGCGTCCACGCCTTTGCCGCGGAAAAATCCCCCGGGAACCCGCACAAAACCGACCTCACTCAGCAGTCAGCAACGAAACGGCAGCCGTTTCGAAAAACCGAAAGCGAAAGGTGCGGGTGCTGTACCGCGCTGTGTCTGTGCGGAGCACGGGGCCACCCACCCACGCCCGCGCCCGCGCCGCGCTGCCTGCCTCCCCCTCCTCTGCAGGCCCCTGCCGCGCTGTCCGTCGCTTCTCCGTTCGCGCTACTACTACCACTGCGGGTAGTAAAAAAACCAGCGCCTCCACCACCTCGACTCCAAGCCAAGGCAGAGCCACCCAGCCAACCCGCCCGGAGCAGCAAAGCATAGGCGCTCGAGCGCTCCCTCACGAGCTCCCCGCCTCACGCCTCGTCGTCCTCCCCTGTCCCCTCCCCCTCCTCGGCCTGCCGCCGTCACCTCCGCCCGCCGAGCCTCGGCTCCCGTGACCCGTCCGCAGCAGCCACCACGCGCGACGACCTCCCCTGCTCCTGAGAGTAAGATCCTCACCCTTCCCGCGCTCCGGCTCCTCCGCTTACCCTGAATTACGCGGGTTCAGGGGGTGTAACGGCTACCTCGCTGCTGCTGCGCGCGCAGATCTGCGGAGCTCGGCATGGGGTGACCAGATCGGGGCGCGGCTCGGTGCTCTCCAGCTGAATTCTGCTCGCGGCTCGTCTCGGAGGCAGCGGAGATGGCTGACGCCGGCGTGGCGCGCGGCTCAGGTTTGCTTTCCTTCACCCTGGCTGCTACCTTCCCTTCTCTCTGGCATGCTTCCGTTTTTCTTTTGTTTTCTCGGCCTGTGTTGCTTCGGCTAGGCCTTTGTGTGGTGATAACTGCTGAGCTGGTGGGTGGGCGCTGAATCGATGAGAGAGCAGAGGTCTAGATGAACGTGGACTTAGGGAGTTGACCCCTCTCGTGTGTGAGGGAGAAGAGCAAAGTATGGAATTCGATTCAATTTGCGACGGCTGTGCATTTTTTCCATAGGCGGGAATGCTTTTCTTCTTAACTTTGCCATTTGTGGTGTGCAGTCTGTTGCTTTTTTGACCGATTCATGGTTGAATTTGCTCCCATTTTTGCTGGTCTGCCTGCTTAATTAATGGTCTGTCTGTCTGTCGTTTTTATGCATGCACAATTGCATCTGTGAAATTTGGGGCGGGGAATGTATAATTGTTTAATTGTGGATCTGGAAACTGATTTCCTTTTCTAATTAGTAATCACGGCGCCTTCCGTTGTAAAATTTCCAAGCTTAGGTAGCAATTGTTTCTACAAAGCATAGATGGCCCTTAATTCTTGTATGTATATGTTGTAGGATTGTTGTTTTGACTGCTTTGCTCGACAATTTGCAATTTTGCTGTTCTGCAGTAAATTATACAAAAATGGATCTGGGAAATTGGGCTTAGGGGAGGAAAGATGTATAATTGTGGATCTGTAAACTTATTTGTGTCAAATTAGTAGTTACAGTGCATTCCGTTGTAAAAGCTGTATGGTTTGCTCAACTATGTGAAGTACTTGGGTGGGTATTTAATTCAAATCAAAGGGGCTCAAAACATCTGGTTGTAGCAGAGTTGTACCAATGGCTTGCATGTGAAGCATTTCCCTAGAAACAAATATGATTTTTTATTGGATCTGTGTGGATGTTGCTTCATTAGGATTATGTCATTGATACTCAATTAATTCATTATAAAAATAGACTAATTATGCTGTAAAATTTACAAAATAAAAGGCTGGCAATGCTTTGTTCAGGGAACTCTGCCATGCTTCTTCTCAACTTCTCGTGAACATTTCTCCTTAACCAAATCAAATGCCTTTGTATAGGGAGTGCTGGCGATGCTTTGTTCAGGGAACTCTGGCATGCTTGTGCTGGGCCGTTGGTCACAGTGCCTCGCCAAGGCGAGCTGGTTTATTACTTCCCGCAGGGTCATATGGAACAGGTATATCTCGTTGTAGTGTGCCACAGTTAAGGAATTGAATGCTTATCTGCGTTCTGTAGCTATTAATATTCTAATAATATTTATTGTATGTTCAAATGACAGTGGTATGTTCTGCGTTAATTCCGCTCTTTTTATGTAATCTTGTCATTAAACTGACCATAAAACATCTTTCTATAGCTTGAAGCATCTACAGATCAACAACTTGATCAGCACTTACCTCTGTTTAATCTTCCACCCAAGATCCTCTGCAAGGTGGTCAATGTAGAACTTAGAGTAAGTCCTCTATTCCTTTTACTTTGCGTAGTCCCCCTTCATGCAAACTTCACTGAAATGACAATTGCCCACTAATAGGACCAATCCTGTACTTTCCCTTACTGCTTTACCTCTGGAATGCAGGCTGAAACTGATTCTGATGAAGTTTATGCTCAAATTATGCTGCAACCAGAAGCAGAGGTGAGTAGGTTCACTCATATAATTTCTTGTGGATCTCGATCCTCTCATTGAGTTATTGTCTGTTTCTTTGTTTGTGCAGTATAGTGCTGTATCTCACACATCATGATCTTTCGTTTTCGCAATCAACTTCTCTAACTATATTGCATAGTCAGTATTACATGTGTATGTGTTGACTTATTTTCCTAATTCGCTAAATTAGCAAAATGAGCCCACCAGCCCAGATCCTGAGCCACCCGAGCCTGAAAGATGCAACGTCCATTCCTTCTGCAAGACCTTGACTGCTTCAGATACAAGTACCCATGGTGGATTCTCTGTCCTCAGGCGGCATGCTGAAGAATGTTTGCCCCAACTGGTTAGCGTCATAATGTATAACATACCTAGGCGTAGTATTTGAGTTATAGCCTTTTAAGTGGGATGATTTTTATTTGTAGGACATGACTCAGAATCCACCATGGCAAGAACTGGTGGCAAAAGATCTCCATGGAAATGAATGGCATTTCCGTCACATCTTTCGAGGTTAGATTCTGATCTCAATGTACCAGTTAAGGGCCCGTTTGTTTCCACTTCTCCTAGCCACGCTTGGATTATAATCTAAGCGAAGATTTTCTCGCTTCTAAGCTTTTAAGCTTCTCGTAGTTCAAATCTCTGAAGCGGCTTACCACATAAGCGAGAATCGGTGGAAATAAGCAAAGCGTTTGGCGGGATTCTCGCTTATTTCCACCGACAAGCCGCTTATAAGCGGAAACAAACGGGGCCTAAGCCTACTTTTAGTTTCCTAGTATTATAGTGCTGTCTTTATAGTTCTGATGTGGTATTAATTTTGAATGGACTTAGTTCCCCTGATTCAAAAACAAATTTCCTGTAATTATTTTGATCACAAACAATGATGTTTTCATAATGATTTAGGTTACAATGACTCTTGAAGTATTTGCTATTTCTTTCAGGGCAACCAAGGAGGAATCTACTTACGACAGGCTGGAGTGTTTTGTTAGCTCAAAAGATTGGTTGCTGGTGACGCGTTTATCTTTTTGAGGTGTGACAGAATTTCATGTTGAAGCTGTCTTGCACATTTGAATTTGTTTCCTGGCTCTGCTGAATTTCTGGATCAACCTGCTAACTGTTCTTCATCTAACAGAGGTGAGAACGGAGAGCTGCGAGTCGGGGTAAGGAGGCTCATGAGGCAACTAAATAACATGCCGTCCTCGGTTATCTCAAGCCACAGCATGCATCTTGGAGTCCTAGCAACTGCATCTCATGCCATCTCCACTGGAACTCTCTTTTCTGTTTTCTACAAACCCAGGTTTGATCCATTTTATTTTAAAACTTCCTTCTTGGAATCCTTTCTTTACTCAAGACAATATCTTTTGTTGGGTGTACTATACTTTGTACATGAACTAACTGTGCTGTGATCAAGTATTGATTTTGCTGTGGTGGTGGGTGGCGGCTTTGATGCCTATCCAGCCTCACACATGAGACAGTTTTCTTTGTTCACATGAGTTGTGTTGTTTCTTGTGCTCAAATTATATTGTCCTATTAGGTTTGACATGTGGAAATGCACTGTTCGTAAACTTGTACTTCTGAAACTTACATTGTCCATCTTATTTGGTCCACAGAACAAGTCGATCGAATTTGTCGTTAGTGTAAACAAGTACCTTGAAGCTAAGAATCACAAGATGTCTGTTGGTATGAGGTTTAAAATGAGATTTGAGGGTGATGAATCTCCTGAAAGAAGGTATTCTACATTTTATATTCCATAAATAGTTATTTCGTCATAGATTTCAGAGGTGTGCCTATTATAACCTTCTTCCTTAATTGTTTGCAGATTCAGTGGGACAATTATTGGTCTGGGAAGCATGCCAGCTAAATCAACATCTCCGTGGGCTAATTCTGAATGGAGATCTTTGAAGGTAATCAATATTTTTCTATTTGTGGACACAATTCCACTTTTACTTTGCATTTGCCTCTGAAATATTGTTACAATTCATATGTGTTTTCCAAGACCTCAAGCCATGCTCTCACTGCTGACAGGTCCAATGGGACGAGCCTTCTGCTATTCTGCGTCCAGATAGAGTTTCACCTTGGGAACTAGAACCCCTTGATGCAACTAATCCACAACCACCTCAACCTCCTTTACGGAATAAGCGTGCACGGCCTCCTGCTTCACCTTCTATTGCTCCAGAACTTCCTCCAGTTTTTGGTATGTGGTTGCTAAGCTGATGTGCCAAATCATCCCTCTGCTTATGACAACGATACTTACTATAGGGACAGAGACCTTATGTTTTCTACTGTTTTGTTCACATATTGGCTGGCTTGCAGACCTAATCTCCTGATTCTCTTCTATGCCATCTTAGGTTTTTGGAAATCCCCAGCTGAGCGTGCCCAAGCTTTCTCATTTTCAGGACTGCAGCGAACTCAGGAATTATACCATTCAAACCCCAATTCAATCTTCTCATCATCGTTGAATGTAGGATTCAATTCAAAGAATGAGCGTTCTACTCCAAATAACAATCATTTGTACTGGACAATGAGAGAGACAAGAACTGAATCCTACTCTGCTAGCATTAACAAAGCTCCTACTGAAAAGAAGCAAGAGTCTGCTACTTCTGGCTGCAGATTGTTTGGTATTGAGATAGGTTCTGCAGTATCACCAGTGGTTACTGTTGCTAGTGTTGGTCAGGATCAGCCACCTGCTCTCTCAGCAGATGTTGAATCTGATCAGCTGTCACAACCATCCCATGCCAACAAAACAGATGCCCCAGCAGCAAGCAGTGAGCGCTCTCCTAATGAAACAGAGAGCCGGCAAGTCAGGAGCTGCACCAAGGTGATAATAGGTTATGAACATTTTAACTTGCATCCTTTATGGTGATGCGAGTGTAACTAACAACTGTTGTCCCTGCAGGTAATCATGCAAGGAATGGCGGTTGGCAGGGCAGTGGACTTGACGAGGTTAGATGGGTATGATGATCTTCACCGCAAGTTGGAGGAGATGTTTGATATCCATGGAGAGCTTTCTGCCAACCTCAAGAAATGGAAGGTTGTTTACACAGATGATGAGGATGATATGATGCTGGTCGGGGACGATCCATGGAAGTATGTACCCTTTTCCCTTTGCACTAGATTCGTTAGTGATGGAACTTTTGAAGTCCTTAACTATGTCGCCGATTTAACTCGGGTTTTCTTTCTTTCGTTCCAGTGAATTTTGCAGGATGGTAAAAAGGATATATATTTACTCTTACGAGGAGGCCAAGTCTTTGACTCCCAAAGCGAAACTGCCGGTCATTGGTGACACCATCAAGCCAGACCCAAGCAAATTGTCACCGGAATCTGACATGCCACAGAGTGACTCAAACAACAATGCTCCCGTTGCTGCTGATAAGGATTGATGAATGCTAACTTGGCTCTATCTTTTCTTCCCCTCTTGGATGTTGGTCATGGGAGGCAATGCCCATGCTCCTTGAGACTGCTAAGAGTTATCTGTTTTGTTGTTTCGCGGGCCCAAAGGACGCTGCCCTGCATCATCTGCCTCGGTCTGGAATGGCTTGGACCAGCTGTGGTCCTTTACCAGCAAGGAATGGCTGGGAGGGGGAATGCATACCGTTCGGTGTGTGGCACCCGTGTTTTGTTTGCCGTGTTTGGTAGGAGGCATGGCTTATTGCCGGGTACTTTGGTTTTGGAGACTGCCACTGACTGCTGTCGTCTCACTGGCCGTCGGCGGGCTGCCCCTCTCACCTCTAGTAAATAGGACTTATGTACACAACTATTTTGGTAGTAGCAGTAGTAGTATATGTATATCATCGGTCATGTTGCTTGCTACATATACTCCTATATAGCATCCTCCGTAGCTGCTATTTCCCATTTTCCCCTCCTGCATTTTAATCCCGGCTTGGTGGTATCTGATGCTCTGGTGCAAAATGTCTGTTCGTTCCAACGGCATGCTCTTTTCGGCGCGTGCTGCCTTGCTGGGTGTCGTGTGTGCTTTCGGTTGGAACATTGCTGCCACCGCCCGGCATTTGTGCTTTCTTGGTGCTGTGTGTCTGCCCTCCTGTACAAGGCATCTGTATTCTGTACATATATGAACCAGTGACTCATCTGTAATGCCTGGGATATCTGGTTTGACGTGATGCTGATGCGGGCGAGGCCCTTTCTGCTTTATGCTTTGCCTGCGTGGAAGAGGCATTCTCCTCGTGATGGCGACTGGCGATGGACCTCATGATCTTTCTTCCACCGGTCTCCATCCCGGGTGGAAGGCTCATCGGAATGATGGTTTCGGCCGTAGCTCGCTTAAAGCCTCGTGCATGAGGGGCTAGGGGCATCTGTTTACCAAAGCAGAGGCTGAGAAAGATTTGAGGGCTTAGACCCGGAATGCAAACATTGTTGGGGATCAGAGAGATTTGATTTTGAGGGCTTTGTTGTAACTTGTAAGGGGCACTTGATTTTCACCACTCTCTTGGAGTGTCCAATTACTTGTGCCCATGTGGCACAATCCGAGTCACTGAAAATGGGCAAGAATAGCAGGCTGTGTGCTGCTCACTCACATCATAGGGATGGAAAAAAAAATGAAATTGTTGAGGGGACCTAAGCATTGGATTTTTTTTTTTTTTTTTTGCAAAATTCAACCACCTTTGATTGTGTCGTTTGTAAGGAGGAAAACATGGCCTTTCAAACAATGGGAATGCCCAGGGGCTCAGAGAGACCTTCTGATAGAAGCATTTATTTCCTTTAACAAGGCAGCATTATATTAACAACACTGTTCGTTACAGATTATGGCCCGGATCATCTCCGGAGGCTCATGCAACCAAGTTTCATATTGAACTGAACAGACGTTTTAGCTAAAAGATGAGCTACCTCATTACACTGTCTACTGACATGTACAAAAGAAACATCAGGATTTTCACTAATCAGGTTTTTAACATCCTGAATGATGACACCAACATGAGATCTATCAACCCCTTGAAGTTCATTCTTCCTGGTAAAACTTTGACAATCAGAAGTTACAATGATTTGCCTGAGATTATGCTCCATAGCAAAGGAAACAGCTCTTTTGACTGCAATTGCTTCAGCTAGTGCAGGATCCTCAATTCTGTGCACTAGCTGACAGCAATGCACTAATGCAGCACTAAAAGCACCCTTGTGAGCACGTAACACTATTCCAGCCCCCATGCAAGAAGGATTTTTGAATATTGCTGCATCAACATTGAACATCAACCATCCATCCGGCGGTGGAATCAATTTTTGGACAGACTAATCAGATACACCTGTGTGATGTTGGTATTTTAGATATGTGCAGCAAAGACATCTGTGTATAAGCTATCGCCTTTTCTGCAATTACCTTGGGATGAACTCGGCTTTCACCATTGCGTACTGCATTTCTTGCCTCCCAAATATGCCAAACAGTGATAGTAACAGTGGTCTTTTGGTTATCAGATGCATCATCTAAGAAATCAAATAACCACTGCTTCATACAGACCAGATACTTTATATTCAGTGTGAGGCCAAAACACCTTTTTATCTCATGCCAGACCTCAGATACATACTGGCATGTTAAGATAGCATGATCCACAGTTTCTTCCCTGCCACAAAAGCAGCACGCATCAGATCCAGGTATGTTTCGATGCTTGAGTTGAGTGCATGTTGGCAAGCAGTCCTTTGTGCTAGCGCCTAGACGTCTAGTGCTACCATGTAATCATGCGTGTACACTACCAGCACAAAGTGCAAAATCAGTTGGACGTGAAAGGGACCGTAACGCCTAAGAGGGAGGGTGAATTAGGCAACTTAAAACTCTAGCTATAAATTATGGCCTCTTTTTCTAACCTTAACAAAACCTATGAAAAAGATAAACTATCTAAATGTGCAACTATGGTTTTGCTAGTGTGTTGCTATCTCTACCGCAAAAGAAGTTATGCAAACAATGTAAATGCGACAACTAAAGAGTAAGGTAGAGATATGCAAACTCCCGTCGACGACTCTGGTATTTTTACCGAGGTATCGAGAAGCGCGCAAGCTTCCCCCTAGTCCTCGTTGGAGCCCCTCGCAAGGGCCAAGCTCCCGGTCGGGTAACTCCGTGGATAGCCTTGGGCCTTCCCCACGCGCAAGTGGGTCTCCGACGTACCTTCCGGCAAGCTTCTCCCGGATACTCCCTGCCGTCTTCACTATCAAGCTTCCGACCGAAACGTCGCGGGCCTTATTCCCTCCGGTACACGGTGGCGGCCACACCACAAATGCGGTTGGTGTGATCTCGCAAGACTACAAGCCCATCCGATGTACAACAATGGTGCGCGCAAGCACCGAGTGGTAAGAGGTATGCAAACCTCACTAAACACTAGGCCTAAACCTAGAGCAATCGCATAAGCGGTGGTCTAATTAACCTAAGCACTTTGTAAAGTGCCTACGCTAATCACCTAATGAATCACTAAGCACTATACAAGTGGAGATCACTAAAACAGTGTATGAACACCCTTGGTATGTTTCCTCATCTCTCCACCTCTCAACTGGCCAGTTGGAGGGTCTATTTGTAAGCCCTATAGAGAAAGTAGCCGTTGGGGCAAAACCCAGCTTTCTGCTACTGACCGGACGCTGCTGTCGTCCTGACCGGACGTGTCCGGTCGTCCCGACCGTTGGAGCGTGCGTGTTGATCGGACTCTGGGCCGAGTCCGGTCATCATCGTTCGGACGCGTCCGGTCGCGCTGGCCCCGCTTTGGAATCTTTCTGGACTCGATCGGACGCCACTACCTGGCGCGTCCGGTCGTCCACAGTCGTTGCGTCCGGTCACGCTGAATTATTATCGCGACGATGAATAGTGAAGTCCGTGCGTCCGGTCACTACCTCGCTCGGTGTCCGGTCACTGCTGCTGACGTCTGCTGTTGCCGAGCAACTGATCGAACGCGTCCGGTCACTCATAGGTTGGCGTCTGGTCACTTCTGTGGAGCTCGTTTCTTCGCGATCTTGTTTGTTCCCATCTTCATGCTTGGACTTTACTTAATATCTTGGGTCTTCTCTTGTGCTTCTAGAGTCTTGCTTATGGTGTTGATCATGGGATCATCATGTTGCCTTCATCCAAGTCACGTCTTTCACCCTATTGAACTACAAAACAATTACTTGCAAATTCATTAGTCTAATTCGGTTGTGTTGGTCATCAAACACCAAAATCCAAAGTAAATGGGCCCAGGGTCCATTTTCCTTACAATCTCCCCCTTTTTGTGATTGATGACAACACGACCAAAACAAATAGATAATAAAAATTTTAGAATTTTAAAACTATTTACTTGCTAGGATGCAATGCAAAGGGCACGGTTATATGATGCTAAAAGATACCACATATAAGCACATGTAAGCTAAAGATACCACATATAAGCACATGTAAGCTAAAGATACCACAAGTAAGCTAATCCATATCATATTTAAACATCTTTGAAAACTTATCTTTCCCTTGAAAATATCCCCATGTGGCATTATGGATTTAAGTCTCCCCATAACTTCATAATCCACTATCCTCCCTTTTTCGGATCATTACCATTTGTAAATTATTACCATTACCACTTATAAATTATTATGATCGAGTTTGCTTTTGGTCCTATAAATTCCCCCCCTTTGGAATCAAACACCGAAAAGAAAGACATTAGTAGCACAAGGGATGGTCAAACTTTGTGATCCTTTGTACGTAGAGTGGAATAGGTCATAAAATTTGACTCTCACATTATATAGACTAAGCTCCCCCTAAATATATGCATACATATGATGGAGAATGTAGTTTATGCATAATTGACAAATTAATGCTCAAGGGAGTTTAATCTATATAATGGTGTTGATCATGGGATCATCATGTTGCCTTCGTCCAAGTCACGTCTTGCACCCTATTGAACTACAAAACAATTACTTGCAAATTCATTAGTCCAATTTGATAGTGTTGGTCATCAAACACCAAAATCCAAAATAAATGGGCCTAAGGTCCATGTTTCTTACAATCTCCCCCTTTTTGTGATTGATGACAACACGACCAAAACAAACAAATAATAAAAAATTTGGAATTTAAAAACTATTTACTTGCTAGGATGCAATGCAAAGGGCAATGTTATATGATGCTAAAAGATACCATATGTAAGCACATGTAAGCTAAAGATACCACAAGTAAGCTAATCTATATCACATGTAAACATCTTTGGAAACTTATCTTGCCCTTGCAAATGTCCCCATGTGGCATTATGGATTTAAGTCTTCCCCTAACTCCATAATCCACTATCCTCCCTTTCTCGGACCATTACCACTTGTAAATTATTACCATTACCACTTGTAAATTATTATGATCGAGCTTGCTTTTGGTCCTACAAATTCTCCCTCTTTGGAATTAAACACCGAAAAGGAAGACATTAGTAGCATAAGGGAGGGT